CTCTATTGCCCAGGCTGGAGTACAGTGGTGCAATCTTGGCTCACTGCAACCTCCGCCTTCTGAGTTCCAGTGGTTCTTTTGCCTCAACCTCCTGAGTAGCTGGGACGACAGCTGTGCACCACCATGCCCGGCTAATTTTTGTATTTTTAGGAGAGACGGCGTTTTATCATATTGGTCAATCTGGTCTCGAACTCCTGACCTCATCATCTGCCTGCCTTGGCCTCCCAAAGTGCTGGGATTACAGGTGTGAGCCACTGTGCCTGGCCTCTTTGGAAATTTTATAAAAACGCAACGTGGTCTTTTGTGACTGCTTCATTTATGTAATGCTTTAAGGCTTCATCCATGTTGTAGCATGTATCAGTCGTACATTTCTTTGTGTGGCCGTACGATATTCCATTGTGTGGAAATTCCACACACCGTTCATCCATTCAACAGCTAGTAGACATTTGGATTGTTTCCACTTTGTGCTATTAGGAATGATGTTATGATGCTACAACAGTCTGTGTATGTTTTTGTGTGCACTTGGTTTCTTTTCTCTTGATTATATACCTAAGAGTAGAAAACGTCTGGGCCATACGGTAACTCTACATTTAATTTCTTGAAGAATTGTCATACTGTCTTCCACAGCAGCTGTACCATTTCACGTTCTCTCCAGCAATGTATGAGAATTCCAGTTTCTCTGCTAGCTACGGTGGTTCACACCTGTACTCCCAACACTTTGGGAGGCCGAGACGGGCGGATCACCCGAGATCAAGAGTCCGAGACTCGCTTGGCAAACACGATGAGCCCCCCTCCTGGTCTCTAGGAAAAATACAAAATTAGCTAGGTGGTGTGTGCCTGTAGTCCTAGCTACTCAGGAGGCTGAGGCAGGAGAATCACTTGAAGCTGGGAGGTGGAGGCTGCAGTAAACCAAGATTATGCCACTGCACTCCAGTCTGGGTGACAGAGAGGGGCTCCATCACGAGAAAAAAGAGAATTCCAATTTCTCTACATCTTTGTCAATACTTATTATTGTCTATCTTTTTTTAAATCACAGCCATTATAATGGGTATGAAGTGGCATCTCATTGTGGTTATTTGCAATCCCCTAATGATGCTGAGCATCTTTTCATGTACTTCTTGGCCATTTTTCTCTCATCTTTTTGGAGATACTTACTCAAATATGTTGCCCATTTTTCTGTTGCTTTTTTTTTTTTTTGGTGTTGAGTTGGAGAAGTTCTTTATGTACTTTGGGTATTAAACCCTTACCTGATATATGAGTTGCCAATATATTCTTGTTTTCCTTATTTTGACAATGTCTTATGATGTACAAATTTTTAACTTTGATGAAGTCAAATTTATCTACATTTTTTGTTGCATGTGCTTTTTTGGCATCACATCTAAGAAACTGCTGTTGCCTAATCCAAGGTCATGAAGATGTATGCCTTTGCTGTCCTCTAACATATGGTTTTAGCTTGTAAATTTATATTTTTGACCCATTTTGAGTTAATTTTATGAAAAAAAGTTGAAAATAATTAGCCAGGGGCATTGTGGTGCACACCTATAGTCCCAGCTACTCAGGAGGCTGGGGTGGAAAGATCACTTGAATCCAGTAATTTGAGGGTGTAGTGAGCTATGATCACACCACTGTACTCCAGCCTGGGCAACAGAGCAACACCCTGACGAAAAATAAATAAATAAAAAGCTGAAGGTAGGAAAATATCTCCATTCATCAGAGGCAGGTGAGCATCTTTGTCCTCTCTTGCCCTCCTGGGGAACAGTTGGGTCTATCTTTTTGTCCCTTGATTCTAGCTGGTTGGTGCCTCAGCCCAGGCCTTCTTCTCTGATAAATTCCAAAGTGGCTGCCCCGTTCTAATGCCGTCTCAGCCTCCCTAGTCCCTGAGTTTCACCTTTGTTC